ACACAAGCCAGGATGCCATTGGCCTTCTTGGCCCCCTGGGCACACTGCTGGCTCCTGTTCAGCCAGCTGTCAATCACCCCCCCCAGGTCCCTCTCTGACTGGCAGCTCTCCAGCCACTCCTCCCCAAGCCTGTAGCGCTGCTGGGGGTTGTTGTGGCCCAAGGGCAGCCCCCAGCATTTGGCCTTATGGAAACTCCTCCAGTTGGGCTCAGCCCATGACTCCAGCCTGTCCAGGTCTCTCTGCAGAGCCTCCCTGCCCTCGAGCAGATCAACACTCCCACCCAACCTGGGGTCATCTGCAAACTGACTGAGGGTGCCCTCGATCCCCTCGTCTAGATCATCAATAAAGATGTTAAACAGGAGTGGCCCCAAAACTGAGCCCTGGGGGACACCACTCGTGACTGGCCGCCAACTGGATTTAACTCCGTTCAGCACAACTCTCTGGGCCCGGCCATCCAGATAGTTTTTAACCCAGTGAAGTGTGCAATTGTCCAAACCTTGAGCAGTCATTTTTGCCACGAGAATGCTGTGGGAAACTGTGTCAAAAGCCTTGCTAAAGTCAAGGTAAATTACATCCACAGCCTTTCCCTCATCCAATAAGCAGGTTGCTCTGTCATAGGAGATCAGGTTTGTCAAGCAGGACCTGCCTTTCATAACCCCGTGCTGACTGGGCCTGAGCATCTGGTTGTCCCTCATGTGCTGCATGATGGTGTTTAGGATGAGCTGCTCCATCACCTTCCTGGGCACCAAAGTCAAGCTGACAGGCCTGTAATTTCCCGGATCATCCTTCTGACCCTTCTTATATATGGGCATCACATTGGCCAGTTTCCAATCTGTCAGGACCTCCCTGATCAGCCAGGACTACTGGTAAATGATAGAAAGTGGCCTGGAGAGTGTTCCAGCCAGCTCCTTCAGCACTCTCGGGTGTATCACATCCGGTCCCATAGACTTCTGTGTGATGCAGCAGGTCACTGACTGTCTCCTGGAGTGCAGGGGTTTGTTCTCCCAGTCTCTGTATTCTGGCTGTGGAGGCTGGATTTCATCAGTACAACTAACCTTGCTATTAAAGACTGAGGCAAAGAAGGCATTAAGCACCTGAGCCTTCTCCTCATCACTTGTTACCAAATTTCCTCCTGCATCTAGCAGGGGATGGAGACTCTCCCTGGACTTTCTTTTGCTACTGACATGCTTATAGAAATTTTTCTTGTTATCCTTGATTGCAGAGGCCAAATTAATTTCCAGTTGGGCTTTAGCCCTTCAGATTTCCACCCTGCATAGCCTCACATCCTCTCTGTAATCACTGTGAGTGGCTAGCCCCTTCTTCCAAAGGCTGTAAACTCTCATTTTCTCCCTGAGTTGCAGCCAAAGCTCCTTGTTCAGCCAGGATGGTCTTCTCTGGCATCGGCTTCTCTTAGAGCACCTGGGGACCGCCTACTCCTGAGCCATTAACACTTCCTTCTTAAAGAGCACCCAGCCTTCCTGGACCCCTATACTGTTCAGGAGAGTCTCCCAGGGGATCCTTTCAAGCAGGTGCCCAAACAAGACAAAGTCAGCCCTTTGGAAGTCCAGGATGGCAGTCCTGACCTCTCTAGGAATAGAGAACTCTATTATTTCATAATCACTGTGCCCTAGTCAACCTCCAACCTCCATGTCATCCACAAGCCCTTCTCTGTTCACAAAGAGGAGATCCAGCAGGGCACTTCTCTGGTCGGCTCACTCACCAGCTGTGTCAGGAAGTTGTCTCCCACACATTCTAGGAATCTCTGGGACTGGTCTCGTTCTGCTATGTTGTATTTCCAGCAGATGTCTGGGAAGTTAAAGTCACCCACAAGAACAAGGGCAAGCAATTGTGAGATTAAAATCAATCATTTCAATCATTTAACAACCCCTTCAGCCTCTGCAATAATGGCAGGAGACAGTCTGCAGAGGTCACATGCCCAAGTACTAGGAGTGGAAATGTCTATGTTTTTCCATGCTCATCTCAAGTATCAGTATTAGCAACAAACCAGTTCTGACTGTTTCATGCTTGTCTGTGATTCTGTCTAAGGCAGGGGACATAGGTTTTTTTTGTTGTTGCAACTTTATTTATTGGTGTTCTAGCAATGTGTGCAATACAGTAAGACAAAAACTGGAGAGGAAGTAGGGCACTTGACAGTGTACAGGGGACATACATGACAGGACAGGAACTCAGGTGTATGTATGATTCTTGTTACAATAGCAAATACCCAGAGGAAGGGGAAAAATAGGCTGAGGACCCATAGCCATGTGCTGCATCTCAGACTGGATCATTGTTTTGCCAATTATTAGGCCTAGCATAAAGAATACAGCCAGCATAAAGATGAACCAATAACCAAATTGTATTTGATACAAAAGGGTCAGTACATGGGTGAGCACTGGGGGTACAAATCAGTCAGATTATACATAATCAACATCAATCCCACTGACCCCAACACCACCACCACCACACAACCAACAGTGGGTGGAATAAATGATGAAATGCAGTCTCCCATAGAAGGGACAGGAGACAACCATCAACAAGCCAAACACATAATACCAAGGAAGCCACATACTGAATCTCTACACAGCCCACGTTTACAACAGCCAGACCTGACTGGAGCCCAGTTCCAGGGAGGCAGGAGGTCCTTCCCCAACAGGAAACTCCACAAACTGCATCCACCTCATAGACAGACACTGCCCCTTCCTGCAAGTGGTCCCAGCTTTTACCCCTAAGTGGGACACCTGACCTTTGGTTACTTAATGCAGACACCTGGGGCTCATTTACCCAATGGCTCTCCCCGCAAGGCCACGGCACCCTGGAGGGAAGCCTAAAGGCAAACTCACACCTCCCCCCCCCCTTTGTGAAGGGCTGTGGGAATCATCCATATGTCAACCTTCATTTGGGGCTTGGGGTTGAAACACCATCATTTCAAGCATTGAGTTACTTGCTGTTATTCTGGACCTGGACCCTCCAGGGGTATTTTGAATGGAAAGTGTAAATTATTTCTAGTTATCTGCTACCTAGTCAGCAGAGCTTTTTCAACAATGCCTATCCACATGTAACCATTAGCTGAAACTCTGATTAGAGAGAACTTGTTTTGCTCATAAGACCTCTTACCTTCAGTGAAGGGTAAGCAAACACTTAAGCTATTTCCTGAATAAGATTGCTGTCCTAAAGTGGAAACAAAACAACTAAATGTTACAATAGGGAGCTAGGAATCATTGTCTTTCTGCTCTTTTTCTGTTTTCTGTTCTTTTAGTTTATTCTGCTCATTATGTTTTGCACATCCTGTAAAGATCTGTTGGATCCATAGGAGGATATGTTACCAATTAGTGATCTTCTGTTTTGGAAGGGAGATTTCTTAGCAGGAAACTCTTGCAGCTCTCAGATGATCACCAGCTGTTCAACTGCATTTTATAATTTAATTATACAGGATGACAAAAAATACTGACCTCTCCCAAGAATAATTTCCAGCAAGGACAAAAGTTTGTTCTTCAGCTATTATTGCCTTATTTGGGCTGTGATTCCTCTCCTAAAAAGACAGAGCAAAGGTTCACATCATTTAGGTACTGGCAGTTTGAGGTGCTTGGACAACACAGTTTCAGATGACACTGTCAGACCTAAAGTTTCCATTTTTGACTGAATTTTTCATCCACACTTGCTTAAAAAACTGCCAAATATTATAATTGAGAAGGTTGATAAAATATATTTCTTATTTTTAAATTTTTTTCATTCATTTTCTGTATTTAATACAGTTGATAGTATTGTGGCCAAATTATTTAGAGTTCAGCTTTAATGCTTTAAGTTTTCAGTTTCAGAGTGCCTGCCTTCAGCTTTCTCTAGTCAGGCTGCCAGTGTCAGTCTACTGCTGCAGGCTCTTATAAAACCTGGAAAAGTTTATAAGAATAGGATACTGTGGTTCTGCAGGGTTTTGGATAAAGCGCATGCTAAATAAGAATGTGGTTTTTAATTAATCTAATGACAGCTTCCAGCCATGCTTTTCTTCAGAGCATCAGGCTGTGCTTGACATATCTTTTTCTTAATACTTTTTGCTAGTCTTTGGCCTGTTAATTCATGTGAGCTGCACTAAGCTTCTCTGCAAGAATTCAACAAAGTTCAGTTGTAGTTAACTTTTCTCTGTACTCAGCTGTGACTAGAAAGCATACATGAGTCGAAACAATATGTTTAAATGCCCTGCTTTATGTTAAAAAAAAAAATGGTATTAATATTTTAACATTCCAAAGGAGAAAGCAGTTATTAATATCACCCAAAGGCATTACTAAAATTGCTCTCTTTTTGGATTTCAAGATTACCATCTGTGTAGCATCAGTAACAGATGTTCTTTTCACCAGAAAAATATACATGAAAGCAAGGACAATATGCTTGTATGGGCTATTGAATGTAAAGAGTGTTATAGAAGTAATGGAAGAACAAATGGCAAAGAAGACAATGTGTTTTGTTGTAAGGGGATCTGGAGAAACATTATGCTCCTAGCCAAACCAGAAACCCCAATGGTGGAGGTTTTCTCAAATGGATTAACTGACAAACAGGTTCCAGTTTTATGAAAAATATGGAAGTTTTTTCAGAATTTTGAAGTTCACATTTTTCTTCCTTTTGTTCTGTTTGGGTTTGTCTTAATTCATACAACTCCTATTAAATGTCCATGATTTGTAAATGTAAAGAAAATTAGGGGGGGGGAATGAAGGTCCTGAAAATGGGTGAGTATAAAACTGAAAGCAGCTCTGAGTGTTATTTATTCTCATAGCTCTGTTAAACCAAAGTGTATGATAATATGTAACAAAATATAATCATTCCATTTTGTTTTGTCAGCCTTGTGCAGTATCTTTATCTTTGATTTGCAATTAAAGTTTCTCAGCTTTCACAAGTTTTCCTGATTTCAAAGTATTTCTTTAATGGTTCCTTTTCCCTCTCTTTTCAGCATGAATCTGTTAATTCAGATAGCATTTTCTAAACCTTAGTGTTCCTTTATGATGCTTTTCCAGGTTTCAGAATGGCCAGTGGGAAACCAGGGTTTACTGTATGACCGTAACTGGATGGTTGTAAACCAGAACGGAGTCTGCATAACTCAGAAGCAAGAACCAAGGTTGTGTCTTGTAAATCCCTTGATTGATCTGAAGAAAAACATTATGGTCATCCAGGCAGAAGGTTAGTAACCAGTATCTTTTTTTCCTCTTCACCGCTTGTGTCAAACTTCTAGATACCTGCATGCTTCCACCAAAGTATTGAACGCTGTGTATGCTTACTGACGCCAGGGACAAATTCTGCTACCAGCTGTGGGCAAAGAAAGCCTAGGCTGTAATATACAGCCCTGGGTAGCTTCCTAGCTTGTAGGCAGAGAGTAGACAGTGACTCCCTACATGCAATTAAGTGGATGCTCCAGGAAGGAGTAAGGAATTGACAGATGTGGAAATTTACTGATTAATCTATCTCTCCACATCATGAAGTCCATCGGCCTGAAGGGACTGCAAAGGTAAAGGAATAGGAGTCTAACATCAAACAGCCTGGCCAAAGACCTTACCATTTTATAGCTCTCCTCCTCCTTCCAGCTGTGGGACTAGAAGTGTAGTGTCTTCAGTGGAAATCAGCATGAATTAAAATAAGGACCAGACTTTATTTAGCTCAGTTAAATACTTGCACCAGCAGGCAAATATTTCATGATGTTTGGGCTTCTCTGGACTTATCAAAACCCTTTTTATTCTCTGCTGAGGATTAAAAAAAAGAAAAAATCTTATGGAAAGCCCTTTGCTACTTGGGGGTGCAAGTTATTTATTTTGCTAACAGTGCTGTTAGCACTGAACACTGAAACAGGTTTGTATTCCACAAAAGTCATTATTAATGCCAAGTTTGCATGTGTCTGAATGGTGTTCATGATTTCCCTTGGGTCTAACATTTACTCAGCCTGTATGTCTTAACCATTAATAATATATGTGCCAGCATTTTCAGTAGCTAGAGCAAAACAAGGGAATCGGTATTCAGATTTTTTACCCTTTGTTAGAAATCCATATGTGTGGATCTGTAACTACAGTCTCCATTCTGTTTGTGCATTACAGCTGTTGTCCTCTCCAGCTGTCTGAGTACTCTCCATAAAATTAAGTCTGACCAGTTGATTTCTTTTGTCTGGAATATATTTGTCAAATGTACATTTGGGTGCTTCCACTAGCCTTGTGTGATTTTTGTGTGTGTTTCAGATCCCAAACACAATCTAGTCTCTTCTTAGGGATTCCAGACTGGCTCATTGGCACAAATGTTGCTATTTTCCACTTTTCCCTTTATAATCTTGCTCTGAAAAGGTATGGTTAATTCATGTCAATTCTTTGTGTAGCACCTTGCACCTCAGATTTTTGTAGTACACTTGCATAGGCAGCCTTCTCTCACAACTTTTAAATTAACAAGTGCTTCAGAACTATTGCTAAAAATTCAGTTCTTTTCCATCTCTCTTCCTTTCTGCTGGTACCTCTTGCTCTCAGGCACAATGTGAAGTCTTGTTCAAACCTTCTCCACTTATCCTTCACATTTTCAGAGGTTCAGCTCTGTTGCGCCTTTTGATTGCTTTGTTCTGCTCTTCTAAGTGTGTCCTTAATTTTTTTCCTTGCTAATACCACATTGTTCAGACAAGTGCATATGCATTAGTATGTGTGCCTGTCAATAATCCCCACACTGACATACTTCAGAGAGTCAGGAAGTTTTCTCAGACAAAAATGACAGTCAAGGAGCCCGTTTCTCACTGAGATTTACAATCTCTTGCCGTAGTTAGTGCCAGGGTGAAATTCACCTTTAAATCCTACATTTTACTTTGTGTCATTCTTGGAGTTTTCACTGTCATTCACCTTTTTTCCTACGAAAGCAAGAACCATTTCCATCTAGAAACCAAGTCTAAGGATCACTTTTCCGCCCCAGCGTGATTGATCAGATCTCCAGAGTGCTCTAACAGAAACATGGTTGGCATTTATTTATAGTACAGCCAGCATGTAAGTGTGGAGTCATTTTATTCTTTGTGTAATGACTCTAGATACCAAAAATCTTAGCCCATAAGGTGGTCTGGGCCCTCTTTTTGTAATAGCCCTGCTATTTTTCACTCTCTTAGTGTACTTGCAGTCTGTTGTATTTTTTTAATGCTTGAGATAATGGCTCTCATTTGCTTGGGGAGACTATTCCAAAGGTTGCTGCTCATAAGATAGCACAGTGATGGGTACACATACGAATTGACAAGGTAAGACTGAGCAGATAAATCTGTAGGAAGTTGTTCCAATATTTATTCTGTTTTCTTTCCTCTTACCTGCAGCCTAAATGCATGATTTATTTGTTGATGTTAAATTTTTAATTTTTTCTTTTATCCTTTCACTTACATAGGTCATTGTTATATCTCCCACTTAAATCATTTTGTGGCAGACAAATTTAATTTAGTAAGTTGATTCTTTCCTCGAAAATCCCATGTTAATCACTGTTGCTTTTGTCACTACTCTCTCCAGCTGGTCAGTAGTTTGTTGCTAATGTAGGACCTGAAGCTGAATGCCGCATGTGTAGCTGGAGCAGCAAGCAGTGCAGTGAGGAGCAGTAGCCTTCTGATGAGCGAGACTGGTTGTTATGCAGCTCAGAGCCTTCACTGGCCTCCATCTGAGGCTTGTGGTATTTCAGATTTGTAGCACATAGCCTGCTGACTATAGTCACCTCCAGGGCTCTTCCAGCTTTGTTGCTTTGCAAGTTTCTTTCTCCCACTGGATGCCTCCCACCCAAACTGCCTTTCCTCAGCTACAGTAGCATGCGTCTTTCCAAGAGCAGTTTTGTGTCCTCCTACTCCCCCTCCCCACTCCCCGTCAGTTCCTCTGTTCTTCTCAGTGTGATGGGGACATTTTTGGTGGTGAGGAGTGGGTGCAGGAGGCAACAGTGGTGAAAAAAAGAGAGGCAGACCTTTACTGCACCTCTTGATCTGCTGAATGTGAAAACCCAGCAGCTCCCTGCTGGCCGGGTGACAACTGCAGTCAAGCTAGCTGCCTTCCTCCTGCTCCTCTACAAGGAGGCTGTAACCGCTCTGCTTTCTCTACCAGTTTCTCTGCTGTCATCTGTGCTAGTCTCATTGTAAGAGCAGGCTGTGGCAATGATCTCCAGCTAGAGCGTGCTTTGCTGTCTGGAGGTTTCTCTCTCCAGTAGAGAGAGCCTAAGGCAACCGTGCTGCTGGATTAGGTGCCCCTGGTTAGTACCTAAAACCCAGTGGGGCGAATCCCACATAGCTGAATTGTGCAGCATTCTTAAATAACATTTTGCTGTTACACCTTTAGTTTATGGAGAAGACTTTAGCTGTACCACTTTTAAAACATAATGAGTCTCTTCTCTCTCCCCCTCCAGGCACATGCTCTCCTCTCCCTCTAGAACTTTTCATTAGTGGAAAATTCGTTTATGGCTATTTTATTTCAATATGGTTTAATATTCTCTGTCTTCTCTGTCCAACAAAATAAAACTGTCAGCATGATTTAGTATGACAGTAACTACTCTAATAAGTTTTGCTGACTCCTCTGTGTGCTGAGGCACCACTTCACGTTCTTTCTTTAACCCCTGGGTGCAGCGTGTCTCCGTAGCCCATCTAACAACCAGCCTTGGATGGGCAGACCCACTGTCTGAGCCAGCTGTGTGATCCTGCCATGTCTGTGTGTATCAAGGACATCAGACAAGGCCAAAAGCTTAGGATCCTTCCCTGGCATGCCTACAAAATTATTTGGCTTGCATGGCAGCTGGGGAGCTCCAGGTATTCCCCTAATGGCTGGGTAAGGGGATAAGTGAGAGCAGAGGGAGAGGAAGGGCTTGTGCTTGGTCCCTCATTGGCCATACTTTACTTTGGTAGACAAGTGAGATTTTAATTTTGAGAAACTGCTTTTTGGAATTTTGTCCAAATTATTTTCTTGGGCTATGTAGATGTTAACAGGCATTTCCTATTCTTTTTGATGTCAAGAGTGTAACTAACCCTTGCTATCACAGGACTCATTCTGAGAAAATCGGTGTAACTTTAAATAAGCCTCTGTGGAGAAAGACAACTTCCTGTATCTCGACTGAACCAGTTAATGGTTAGGCTCTCAGCAATTTAAAGGTGGACAGGAGCAAGTTCCTTTATTTCTAGAAGCCGTATTACCTGAGTGGGAATCAAGGGAGATCTTGTTGTGCTGCTCCATCAAATACATGGGAGCACAGATTACACTGGTCTTGTTCCTGACTGACATAAAATTAAGCCAAACAGAATTTAGCTGAGAATACATTTCTGTAGAAGACTAATTTCTCTCTTTCCATTTTAGCTAACAAACAGCACTACTTTGGCGAGTTGGGCATTACTTTGCCACTGAACAGAGGGAGAAATTTTGAGTACTGTGGAGGCCCTTTAAAATATTGGAGTAGAAAGATGCTAGCAAAACTGAGCAACTAATTACACTTTATGGAGTTTATTGTGCCTTCAAATAAATGTTACTGCCAATAAAAATAATGGGAATTAAGTGCATACACTGATGAAAGAATATACATGAATAGTTTATATTTCAGTCTATTGAAATAACAGACCTCTAATTTTTCTCATTGACTGAAAATAGGAGCTATAAAGACAAGAATAATTTTTTTTATATTAATACTGTGAGCACATCTGTGAATTTTATTATCAAGCAAATGACCATGGAGAATGACAGCTTTTACATTTTAGTAACTGGCAATATTCTGCTTTATTTTTTTGCCTTAAGATAGAATAAAATTGTAATTAACAATGTTTAACTGACCTAAACATCACTGTAAAATGTGTACTGTTCAATAAAAATGTGATACACTTGCTGGTGTATAAAAGTAGGGCTTTATAAAGCCCTGAGACTCTATTTTAAGAAATTTTGTGAGCATGCCTTGCTTAGAAAATATTCCTGAAAGACGTAACAGCTGAGGATGCATACAGGATGAAACCTTTTAAACTGTTCTTTTCCAGAGGGAATGATGTTAATGATTAACTTTTTCAAAGTACAAGAGCATTAGTTCTCGTTTATAAGATGATAACATCGGCTTCTTTTTCAGGTTGCTGCAAGCAAGTTCAATGCATTTATTACACATGCTTTATTTTCCTAAGTGAACCTAGCTTCTCCTCCTCTGTCGTTGCTTCTGAAGCATACTAACATCATTAGCTAAAAAAGGAGTAGACGTCTTTCTGTATTGAAAACTCAGGTGGAACAGAGCTAACAGTTGGGATATAGTGAATCTGAACTACATTTCTTTATTTTTCAGAAGAGAATAAAACAATTTGATTTCACCATATCACAGAGCTGGTAGAGCTTGATTCTCATTTGCATTACAGTAATATACACAGGAAGTAATGAGTGAAATTGAAACATGCTGATATAAAGCTGGAGTACAGGAGATCAGTCTTTGCTGGTTTATGTGGCAGTATAATGGAAAAGAGTTGGATTCATTGCAGCCACACAGTAAAACCCTTTGTTTATTGTTTCAGATTATTGCTTTCAATTAACAGAAAGAGTACAGCTTTGCTTTTAGTACTAGTAAGCCACAGTAGCCTTTCCATGTCTTTGGCTTGTTCTGTTAAAGATAAGTATGGAAGAACCTGTTAACACAGATCATTACCAGATATTCTTCATCTAGTTTAAACTTTGAGATGGATAGATGGGAATAATTCATTAGTGGTTTCCATACATTTTATCTTTAAATTATTGTCGTTTTATGATACATTATATTTCTCTCCTTGAACAGCCTGTGCTTATTTTTTCAAACCCCCTTCATCTTTCATCTTTCTGATCACTCCATCCCACCATTCCAAAAAAACCCCAAACCAACAGCGATTAACCTCATCTCCTGATTTGCTGGAGGGAGCACAACAGTGGTAAACTCATCCTTTCGACAGAAACCATGACTGAGGCAGTAATTCTCTGTCAGTTTTGTTGCCTGAGATAAACAGAGAATGAAATTACTCAAAGCTGAAATTGTATATTCCTTAATGTGTTTTGGGTACGAAGGTCATCTGTAGCCTTTGCTCTTTGCATTATCATTTGGAGCCACCTGCAGGCAGAGAATATAATTCTAGCAAAAGGAAAAGATTTTTGTCACATGAATTTGAGAGGCTGCTGTGATTGCGAGCAGGTGCAAAGATAAGAATTTTTTCATGACGCTATGTTTCTGCATAAATGTGGTTTTTTAAACATGGTTTACTCTCTGCTCATCTAGGCATGGACCCAATATCTGTATCACTAGAAGAAAATACAGGAAAAGAGGCTGTTACCTGTGAGAGTAAAGTCTGTTCACACAGGTGAGTAAAAGCAGAGAGGAATCAAAGCTGAAAATCACTGCTATGACACTCAGGACATGACTGGATGGACACACAGAAGTCATTAAAAAAAGGGGGGGGAGGGAAAGCAATTAATGATTTAGTGGACCAAGAGAAGACAGATTTAGACAGGTAATTTGACATGCCCAGCATGGCTGGTAGAAAACACCAAAAATAAAATTTAAAAAGGTTGAGAAGGACAGTACAAGAGACTGTGATGATTTGGCACTCACTTGAATAAGGGAGATCTTTGTTTTACTTGCTGCAAGGATGAGAAAGAGGAAAGGTGTCCCCAGTTACTTCCAAATGCCAAGTGGGGGCCTCAGCAGGACTCTAGAATTCAGTTCCTTCATTTGACAGTAATGATGCTGGCAACTTTGCACATTTCATGCTGTGTGGATTCAAAATTGCTAGAACCCACCGAGAATATAAACAGCTTCCCATATTTACAACCCTTTTTAATTTTGTTTTGACCACCTATGTTGATCAATGTCCCCTTAACAATCTTGGGAAGATTGCAGGTGAGTATGTGAAATAACAGTAACTCTAATCAAGAGACATACCACTTCAGTGAAATACAACATTATGCATAAATTAATTTCCTATCAGTGAACTTAAGTGTTTATCCATCATATTTTCTAAGTACTTCCCAGTCTCATTAAGTTTTCTGAGTGGCAGTGTATCAAGTGCCTTCCTAAAGTATATTTGCATTATCTACTACAGTCTCTTGGTAAGTCCAACTAAAAGACCTACTTACAGATTTATATCTTTTTTTAACCAAGGTATACTAATTCTTTGTAACCCTCTACATTTACTTGTCTGAGGGTAACACATAAGGAAACCAGCAGAAGACCTGGACATTTTCCCCATGGAGCCATGCAGGAAATGATCTTCTCCTTCTTTACTAGTACCTATTCAGATGATAAAGATGATCTTTTTCTCAGAAGTGTATTTTCCTCAGGTAGTGGAATTATCCGAAGAGTCATTTGTTTAAACCATCTGTCCCACTTCCCTTAGTGTTGACTCATCCTTAGCCTCCCCATGGTTAGCCCATCTATTACAGGCTGTAAAATAGCCTAGGTTATCTTTCTCTCTGTGTGCATATAATTGGCTGCCATACTATTTATTGTAGCTTGTCTTTCATGTCACTGACTCTGTAATTTTTAATATATGAAACAGGAAATTTTCATGGGAAACTGCTTAGAATTCTGAGGAGGAAGAAAAGGATGAAATGACAAAGGAGGAGGTGCGAGACAAATTGCACAGAATGGACTGTAATTAGCAAATAAACAGGGCAGGAAGTAAGGCAGAATGAGTGGACAATGTTGATGAGGCTCCCAGACTGCTCAGAGATGCAACAGCGCTGATGCCAGGGAGCAGGGGAGCCTCTGGGGCCAAAAAATGGAAAAACAGTGGTTTACAGTAGGACAAGTGATTTGTGGCCCGGGGTCTTTTCTGCCAAGTGTCTGAGGTGAGCAATGGGACCAAAAGTCTTTGTTAAAAGGCTTTTATTCAAAAGAAACCTCCACTGAAGGCATTTTCCACTTACTAATTCTGCTCTTTGATGCTGTGATTTCACCCAGTTCAGTTGGTTTAGGTGGTCACTCTGAATTTACAGAGATGGCTGAGCATAGCACATGATGTAGAATCTGCAAGCAGTCACATGAGAAAGTTTAATTTCAGAGCAGCCACGAAAGTTTAATGAGCCCAAGTTTGCCATGTGAAGCAATTCATCAGTGTTAGCCTTCATCTCAGCAGGGGCTGTCCATGGGCAAGTGCCGCTCACATCAGAAGGACATGTCTTTCTACTATAATATCTAACAGTGGACAGAAGCAAGTAGAAGCTAGTGATGTTAAGGTTATTGATGTTGTGGAAGACCCTAAATGCTCAAGGTTATTGCTCTACTGAAATAGTCAGGGACACATCCTCCTCTTGACAGACCACAATATGAAAGAGATCAAAGGAAGGGTATCAGTGGTGGAAGAAGACAAAGGTAGTTAAAACCAAGGTGAACTGAACCTGTTGCACATAAATGTATGTATTTTATCCCTTGGAATCAATATTCAGACTTCAGCTGTCCTTGTTTCTTCTTCTATAATAATTACCTAGCTAGAGGGACCAGCTGTAACACACTGAAGCTGAATGACATAATGAGTGGGGAACTCAAGGCAAACGTCAAGTAAAAACTGAGAGAACTAGGCCCTCCTTTATAAATTGCCTGACATATGCCAAATGAAATTTAATGCTGATAGATATAAAGTAATACTCAACAAAAATAAACATAAAGCAGAAAATGAGTAGAATTGAGCTACAACAGAAAGACTTTGAATAAGACCTTGAAGAAGGTGATGGTACTTGCTCAGAAAATGATCTGGCGATAAGGGAAAGCAATTTGAAAACATAGCAGTCTTGGAATACGAAAACTACACAGTGACATTTGATGAAAGACAAAGAATGCTCTGTGTGCCTAACTCAGCCACTGAGACTCAAAATGGTAAGCAAATAAAAAAGAGGGCAAAACTTTGATTCTGATTTATACAGTATTAAGCTTTAGCAGGCTGCTAGAGGTCGTTGGCTCGGGAGAAAATTTAAGTACCCCTAGCACCTCTGAGGGGCAAAAAATATTTGGGTAATTTGTTTCACCTGTACTGTTACCAAGAAAGATTCATGCCTTCTCTTTAGCAGCTTTCTCCCTAACAGAGCGACCAGCAAGAACACCAGAACTGCTCAGCTCAGACTATAGAATCCATGTGGACTCTCGCCTTTTGTCCATTGTTTCTTGCCACAGTGCCTACATTTCATAATACCAGAGGTTCATTTCAGCTCTAGGACATCACTGGCTAAATGCAGTTGTAGTTGGCATCCTTCCAGTCTCAGAGTGGGGAGAGGATACAGAGCTGCACCACAATCAAAATTCAGAACAACCACTGAAGAGATACCTTATCCCTGCAGGATCAAATCTCTTTCATTTCACTTGTCCTGGCTTTCTACCTGTGTAACTCAGATGAACCAACAAAGCATTTCGTAAAGCCAAGCCATGTCTCTCTATCCTAGGGCTTAGCATCTTTTGCTATGAGGAGCTGTTTTCTTGTTTTCACAGAGCAAGTGGTCTCCATGCAAATCAGTTTCTTTGACTGGATAGGACAAAAAGGTGAGCAGAGGACCACTGCTACCTCAGTTTCCTTACTTCAAGAATCCTGCCTAGATTGCCACAGGAATTTGCATTCCTCGTATCTGTTTATGCCATATAAATATTAGATGTCAGTCAAATCTCCTTTTGTAGTCAATAAAGAGAATTAAACACTCTCAGAGTAAGAGTCATCACATCCTGAGGTCTAATATAGATGGGAACTACTTCTTTCAGTTATCTGTGAGGAGAACCCAGATAATTACTTTAAGATTGATGTTAAGATTACTCAGGGCTGTGAAATCTGATGGCAAATAGGATCGCTTCCCAGTGATCTGATCTGTGCCCTTCCTGAACCAAGAGAGGTGATCTCAAAATCCTTCTAGGAGAGATTACATCCAGGTAAAGAAGGCAAATCTATTGCCAGCCTTGCAGAACTCACTAGACAGTTTACTAGTCATGGAAACCGTCTTTAGATTGAGAAATACCTGGGCTCTGCTAGTGGAGCCATGCTTTTATGTGGAGTGTCTGTACTAACATGAATTAAATTAGGAAATTAACATCATTCTACCTGGTGAGATCATTAAAAATTACACACAGTGTGGCACAGTGGGGAAATCTTAAATTCAACTCAGATTAATCCTCTCTGTTTTACTAAGAAGCACAGACCAGAGACTAACTTTTTCGTAACACTGTATTGTAATATTGTAATACGAGCTACCAGTTACTGTACTTCAGAATCAGTGTCTCGAGTGTTACGATTCCTTTATTCTATAGTAATTTTCTGTATAAAACTAAATTACATCTCATGAATATTAAATTCAAGACACAGAGTACAGTTGAGGAAGTTGGGAGATAAAATTATGCAGAGCTTCACATCTCTTTTTTATCACTCATCAGAGAATACAAGTTCTGTATTTTGTATTGGAAGAAGCAGAATAAACATTTCGTAATTCATCTTCAGTTTTGCAAATTAATGCTTGGGCAATCAAATTTTGCTAAGTACCTCTTTTCTTATAATAGGGTAAAAACACATGATTGTGGAGATGGAATTGCTGACTGGTTCTCTTTGTTTCTTGGTCATCCATGTCGCTTGATAAGACAAAGTTCAGACATGAAAAACAGGTCTCATCGGAAAACTACAAAAGGTATGTTTTCATTCTTAAAAAATTGTGATTTCTCACTTAGTAAGCATCAGGCCCATGGACTTCTTACTGACTATATAATTACCCTGATAAAGGGTGAAAAAGTCATTCAATATTGATCTAGTAGGTTTCAGAGGGTTAATTTCTACCCAAACTGTGTTTATGCTGCCCTTCTACTTGTTACATTTTGTGAAAATGTACAGATAACCAGTCTTGGGATTTTTATCATGACCATGATTTTGTCTGGAAACTCAATAATAATTTTGAAAAATTACCATGAAAAATCTATAAACAAAGAATTTATTCTTAGACTAAATTTCATTATAAAAAGGATCAAATTGAAAGAGATCAAAAATAGATATTGCTCTTGTAAATTGTTTTACAAATTTGGTAAAATCTCAGCTCTATCTCAGTTTCTAAATGCATTGCATTATTATAATTTACAGATGTGAGGGGATTCTTGGAATCTTTCCTTAGTGTCTGGAGCTGAGTGAATAATTTTTTAATGAGAATAAATTAGAGGTCAAAGGAAGGATGAGGTGAAATTGCTAGTATAATCTTCCTGATTTTTAACAATCATTTTAGAATCTTGGACTAATTTTTTTTAGGTTTGTCATCTGCTACAAACATCTCACTCTCTCTTGTGAATGAAGCACAATACCTCCTGATAAATGTAGCAAGCATTCTGCAGCTGAAAGAACATGTTTCTGCAAGGTAAGATTCTTCTGTCTCCAAATGTCTCTCAACAGTCTTGGTTTTCAAAATCTAGCCATAAGATGCCGATAGAACTGTTTTATCTAGAAATTTAGAGATAGTTGCCGTTCAACATTCAACAAATATATAGGTACTAAACTGCTATAATTATTTATTCCTGTATGACTTCTGAAAATTTGGATTAAATGTTTGAACATAATCTGTCTGCCAGTCTTCTTTAGGAAAACTTGAACAAAATTCTTGTCAAATGATTTGATGGCAGGAGATAGTTGGGAACCAGCCAACTTCTATATGTGGGAAGAACAAAGATAATTAGGTTTTCTCCACACAAATAATCTGGCAGGTGAAAATACAAAATCTTGCTGCTTGCTTACCTATTTCTTTCCTATGGGAAGGATTAAGATTTAGAGCAAACATTCACAACAGAAATATTTTTAAACTACTTGCAGGACTGGATTTATTTCATTTCTTAATTGAATTTGGCTTTACTTGTACAAAAGTAGGAGATAGAAGCAGCAAATGAAACACTGAGCCAGCCCACAGTTCAAAGATAAGGAACCTATTACCAACTAAATTTTCATATACTGACAATAGAAAGTTGTTTCTTAAATGTAACTAGGACAGGCTCAAATTCCACAGAAAATCTGCCCTTAAGGCCTCTATCATAGCAGTGCATCCCACAGCCCCAGCATTTGTCTCTGAGCTTCATTTTCCTATTTCACCAAACTTCCCTGCTTCTGCTTAGAGTCATCTCCCCTCTTAGTCACGCACCAAACATGCTCCCTGCATTGAAATTCCTGTTTTGAGTAGAGAAGAAATATATATATATATATATATATATATATATATATATATATAGCTGTAGGAGGATACGTATATAGATTCAGTATTTAAAACCACTGACTGAATGAAGTATCGCTACAGACCACTGGAGCTTGCATTGCCTGAGGGTTTTCTTTCTTTAGGAGAAGACAGTTGGGCAATTTTAGGATATCATGGCAGTGCTCCTCTGGATAAAAAGCATGGAAAAGTTTTGAATCAGTCCATTTCTCAGCTGTTTTGACTCCCCTTTCTCAGTGACAGTTAATGCCTTCTTTTGAGGCTTGACTGGCTGAGTTATTACTCCTTGGGAGAACAACTCTTGCAGGCATCTCAGGCTCAGACTGGGCTTTTTCCATGGTAAGGGTCAGTGAAGAACCATCCAGACGTGGGATCTGAGCGTGAAGAAGGAGAGTATGAGACCAGAGGGAACAACTGAGGATGAAGGAGGACAGGGAAATTTGGTAAAACATGCAGTGTCAGGTGATTCACTGATTTTCCACCTTCCAGTACAACTAGACTTGTAATCTCCTTTTCCTGAAAAGAAACTCCAGATATGACTGGAGCTGCCATGGTGCCTGAGAAGCATCTTGCTTCCCACTCTGCAGCAAAATTTGGGAAACTCCTCCCTATTTTGCCATGCAGTGCTTTCTCAGAGTGCTGGGGAAATCAATTCAGCATAGATATACAGCATCCTCATTCTGCACTGTTACTAAATCATGTTGTATGAACTTTCCAAATACTGAACAGTGCAATGTACTTTCAAGCATCTGCACATATGGGTGCACATTATTAAATGTGTTTTCTTTTTTAGAAAGTATTATTTAACTTACTGGCATGTGGGGTTTTTTTTTGTTTAACAAAAACCTGTTAAGATTTATAAGACAATTTCAATCTTCAGTTGATTTTTAATAATTTCTCTTTGTATGTTCTGTAAGTAAAAATTAATCTTCCAGTTTGCTCTTGGTTCTTGAGAGGTGATCTAAAACAGATACAGCAATTTAATTAAAAATTAGAATGTAACATACTGTTGGAGAGCTACATGTACACAGAGACATCTGTCTCTCAGACATTACCATTACAGGTCCCCTTCATGAAAATCCTCATGACTTGGCCTTATGCTCAAACGTTCTTGTTAGAAATACGCCCTTGAAGATGCAAATATTCATTTTCAAGCTTGCCTGATAAATATAATGTGTTCTGGATTGCAGGGTCCACTACTGTGAATAGTCCACAGTACCTAGGCTGGCTTTTACACTAATTTTCACAACAGATCCTTGTTGAGATTTGCAGGATGAAGGTACCTGTCACTCCATCCAACCAATGCATGTTTTGAGGGAGGGGAAATAATGGCTGTTTGCTCAGATACATGCTACCAAGTAATTAGAAGCAGTTCTGAGTGATGAGGATAGGTGCAGGAGAGGTGAAGTATTTTGGAGGTGAGCCTGAGCAGGTCGAAGGTAGAGAGCAGGGGCATTGCAGTCTTTGAAGATCAGCAGCAAAGGATAAATAGTAGAAAATCAAAGCAGTTTTCAGCAGCTGGCTTAGGACGCTGCAGGCCCAGCTCTGAGGTTACTTGGGGCTTTTCATGCCCCCACCAGTACCGATTGGTGTAGCAGGCACTTACATGTCACAAAATGCATTCAAAACTAGAGGCTACACAGCACCCCATCTCCAAGAGCCCACGGCAGAGCTAGGAAGCACAACAGCGTAACTGAACTTGTTCATGACTGACTGCTATTTTGCTCCTTGTCTGTTTGAGCATCAACATAGTCTACACCTTCTGTTGGCTCCTATCTCCTGCAGTCATTACGAATCGTGTTTCAGCCATGGGATTGCCTGTGGGATCTCAAGGGAAAACCTGTAGCCCTTCAGCTTCCCATCCCACTTTCTACCCCCAGGCTGCTGGAGCCCTTGTGAACAGCAAAGGCTTGATGGAGCTGGGTTTGTGTGGTTGGACTGAAAGTCTGCACTGACAGTTTATCCTTATGCACATTTGTCTACTAAAGAAGATCATTCAGACTATTTTAAATAAAATCAAGATCTTTTTTTCATCTAACAAGCCTCTTCTGGCAAGACTGCTTGATGTGGACAGTTTTCCCTGTACTTTGATTTTGCATGTTTTTCTTAATTTAAAATTAAAACACATTTTAAACTGTGTCCTTTTTTTTTTTTTTTTTTTTTTTTTCCTCTTCTGTAGGATGTCATATCCCAAAGTTGTCAGACCACAGCTGATGGAGTATCAAAAATTGTTCATGTCCATAATCACTAATGGAAAAAAAAAAAGTGTTCTTCAACATCTCACTAACAACAGCACCGAGAGAACTCTCTTGCAAATTTTAGGGCTGTCTTTTTTTCCTGGTACTGGTTGGGTTCTCCTTTGGAAGAAGAGTAAAGGATAACAATTCAAGGGTGCAGCCAGATTTCTGATATTTGTATGCAGTCTGCTGCTCTGTCTGCCTCATATATGTTCTCTGCACTGACACAAATCTACACTCTGGCAGTTCAAATGCTTTTAAAGAGGTGGAGATACCACCACACAGAGATTTAATTTTTTTCAAAACACCTATCATTTGGTGCAATCTGCTGCATCCCAAAGGCAAATAATAATAATATGATGAATACATTCTCTCGTAAAATGTCTTTACTGGCCTTTTTCACCTTCAGCATCTGCTGGTTTTGTCCCTTTTGCCACTGCAGCATGTGCAGAATAAGTTTCTATTTGCCTTCTTTTTAGAAGCATTTAACAAGTCAAATGATTGCTAACTCCAAAGATCTTTTCATTTGTTACCATTAGCCTTAAATGTGATAACTAATAAGGAATTTTCTCACAGTCACCTCTCTATATACATTCATACCTACAGTTCCAAGTTACACCTCTGAAGAAGCCACCTAGAGGATTACAAATTATAATAGAAGGATTGAAAATTATAATTAAATACCTTGTGCCTTTTTCATAGCCTCTGTAATAGAACTCAGTCCAGGTTGTTCTGGAGAAACTTTTGCTGAATCGTATTAGCCACTAGATTCTTACATCACAAACATCTAGTGCTGAGCTAGTTAACAAACCTTATTTTTTCTTTTTCTCTGTCAACTCTGTGAGACAGATTGGAAGAGCCATTGGAAATAGAGGAATTAATCCGACGTTTCCGTGCCAACATTGTCATCAGTGCACCAGAGTCCTTTGAAGAAGAAGAGTGGGCTGAGATTTCAATAGGTGCTCTGCGATTCCAGGTGCGAAATCTCTCCTGTCCTAGTCTATCACAAAGTATTTTGACCCCTGGAGACAGAGCAATTTTTTCAAGGCTTTGGCCGGAACATAGGCAGCACAGTTTGTGCCGATGAAATTTCTGAAGTGTGTAAAAAAACCCATGCTGTGACCTGTGGCAAACATGCTTCAATATAACCAAGAGGTTTTGACATATTTCTCCACAATTTTTTTAATTTCATAATTAATAAAATTTCCCACCTCTATCCAACTGAGCAGAACAATAACAACTGTTCTGAGGCAGAGTTTGCTGCATATATTTAGACAGCATGTCATGAGAGAATACCGGTTGCTGTTAAGCATAATAGTCCGAACGTAACCTCGGATTGCTGCACATCAAGCAACTGATTGCCAAAAGACTGGACATGAATACAAGTGAACAATCACTGTCTATTGCCCTCTGTTGTATACATTGAGTCTTAATCTCCATTCAAGACATGTTTCTAAGTCTAGCCTGCTAGGGTTTTTTCATATGTTATGCTTTGTATCATATCTAACAATATAATGTACTTTGTACTGTAAGGAAAGTGCTGAAGAGTCAGACTTTGTTGGCAAATAGATTCTTTTGAGAAGAACTTCAGAAAAGGATACATGAAGAAGCTACCACATGAAACCTAAGGGAATGATGCACGTGTTACATGTTCTGTTAGACTTGTCTGGTTCTTAGACATGAAATACATATTTGAAAATGTGTTGCCTGGGATATGAAAGTGGCTTATTCTTTGTTTTCCTAGGGATGATAATGAAGGTGTAACAGAAGTGCTAAGGTCAAATCTAGAAGCTGTGATAGACATCACTCCTGTTTCTTTCTGGTCAGCATACTGTAAGAAACGGAGGGGTAATTTTTTCAGTAAGGGTGGAAAATACGACTTTTCTGCTCTCTTCTTATGTGTACTTTGATCAGTAAGCTGTAATAGGAGTTACAGAAAATTGAGGAAAAATTTCTTTAGGTAAGAGATGAGGAACACAAAGGACAAAATCCTTGGTGTATGGCTTGCTGGAGGCTAGAGTTGCGCTAGGGAACTCAGCTCAGGATCCTGTTGTGGAAGATAGTGAAAAATAAAAACTCACTCCTGTTTCTGGCATTGAAATACTTTAGGAATTCAAGCCAAAAATAGAAAAGCTTATGCAACTTGCATTGTCTTTTCCAGTCTCTGCTAGGTCCTTATTCAGATACTGATGTAGTAACAGTAGAAATTATGTTAATGGTACTCAATGCCAGGAAAATGGTAGAAGAAGCTGTTGAAAAAAGCAAAGCAGGAAAAAATATTTCCTTCTCTGACTTGTTTTCTTGTTCATTTAATAAAATATAAAAGCTGTGGAAAATCATCTTCTGAAAAAAATGAGCCAGATGTATGGTTTTAAGGGTTATGCTGAAGAGTTGTACAAGTAGTAGTAGATGTATCTTAAAAAAATGAAAATAGCATTTCAGGTCAGCATATAAAAATGTTTGCAGTGGAAGGTGTAATTATTTGCCCCATTTTAAATTTATGACACATTTCACAAAAGTAGAATATTGGGATACTGTAAGAACAGTTTCTATAATGTACAGCTAAGCTAAAGTTAGGGATGCAATATTAAGTGAAATAATATGCAATATGTCTTCCTTCTTCATTTTAGTGCTTTAAGAAGAAATTTGTTGCAGGGCTTTTTTCCCTAAAAACACTCCCTAGTTTAAACAAGAATTAACTTTAAGATCCATGCTCTGTATTACATATGATGTTAGACTAGAGGATCTCATTATTCCTTATGATTATGTAAACTTGTGAAAATTCATATTTTGTATTCTGATTATCTACAAGTGACATACATATAAGAATGGTATTGTGCATTTCAGCTGCACTGAAACTAACACAAGAAAATCCTCCTTGGGGTAAATCCTGAGGTGCTGGCTTACTTTTATATTCCATTCTCCTTTGGGCAAGTACCCCTGCCAGCCTGTAGATGAAATGAAGCCATCAGGAAATACAAATATGTAAATGTTGGGTATTTCTCAGATTCCATCTCTGGGAAAATTTTCCTTTAAAATATAAAAGAAAAAAGTGAATTAAGAATTCGGTGAGACCTTCACAAGTAGTAGACCCTTTGAAAATGTACCTACTGCATTAGGTGAATAGGCCTGACCTCTTACATAATGAAAGCATAAAAGAACACAAGAAAGGTATGTGAAAGATATGTGTTTAAGTTATTATGGTGGTCAGAAGCTTGTACTGCTCTGTGTTGTACTGCTTTGATATACATTTGTGAACCTTCTTTAACTAAAATTTCAGGTTATGGGTCCGTGTAGCAGATGTCAAATAATCTGCATTGATCAACAGTCTGGGGAACGAAACAAAGAATTTCTGCAGTCTCTGTCTGCTGCCAGGGGTAGAAAGGTCAGTACAGTACTCTAAAATTGCTGTATATAAAGATGTAGTTACTTTACTACCTATGTAGGGATGTATCTGCAAAGAGAATATTCACAATTAAGTCATTATGCGAATCCTTACCATTTGTTTTTTCGGTAAAAAGAGGATGCACTTACAACCCAGATATGACATGGTTTATTTCCATAAAGTGTTCAACATGGTTTTTATTCAGAAATTGACTATTAATATGCATTATTTTTTACTGTGCTTGCTTTTATTTAGTATGTGCTGCTTTACAATGTGTCTATTTTGGTCTTGAAAAACATGAGCTGATGCACTGATGTCATTCAAAGAGAAATCTGCAGAAAAATCAGAAAGTGTTTGAAATGATACAGTTAGCTCTAAGACTAAACTTTATACTGTGAGAAACTACTTAGCAGGAAAAACAGAGCAGATGTGAATATAGTCAAAGCGGAGAGTAATTGATTAATAAAGTGTCTGGGGAATAAGTGTGAAGTACAGGCATTTATTTGGAGTCCTGTTTCCTAAGGTTGCATTGCTGCTTGGAATTGAGAGTGCTCAGATGATGGGTAGACAGTTCGGCATCCCAAAAGCTTCACAAATCTCCTCATAAGTATTTATTTAGCTGAAAATCTTTAAATTCATCGCTTCCTGTTCGTTAAGCTTCTGTTGTAAAAGTTTGTTAGCCAGTCAGGACTCGGAAACCTTGCCAATAGCAAGTCAAACACCAGAGACTGGGCACAGCACAGGGGCAGAGCAGTAACAAATAGGTTGCAAATCATTCACCCAAACAATGCACAAACAAGTTATAAATAATACATTCTTTTGGAGGGGGAAAAAAAATAATAAATTGATTCATCTCAGTGACTCATTAAGCAAACAAAGGGCTACATTTTCAATGAATGTTATCCTTGGTGAATCGTTCCGCCGGCTCCGTCTCGGAGCCAGCTGCCTGGTGCAGAGTGAGCCGGGGCAGGGGCGAGCAGCCAGGGGCCGGCTGTCCAGGCACAGCTTCCCGCTGACCTGAGGTGACTTAGGCTTGCACAGCAGACTCTGGCATCCGGATCGCCGCAGCACATGGGCCTTTTGAGATGAGCTCCTGGCCATGGTGGGTAGCCTGAGGACAAGAGCCCCCTCCAGGTGATGGTAAGCCACAGCTGGAACACCTGGGACACTTTAGAGCACATTCTGGCACTCTGGGCAGGGATGCTGCCCAGCTGCCCCATGGGGTGCGGTTTGCGGAAGACTTTCTCTACCCCTGTGGGTTTTACTGGATTATGACTTAAATCCTCTGTGGAGGGAAATTCAGGGACCCTCTCAAATGGCAACAAAACCTTACCTGGGACACAGATTCTCAGGAGAGGTAAAGTTTCTGTATGTTTCCCACAGCAAAGATAAGCTTCTCTTTCATTCTGATTAACAGCAACGCAAAGATTTTCTTGCTACAGGCACTCCTAGAACCAAGTAACTTTTTCAAACAAAACTAAGGCAGAGAGAACAATTCAGCCTCTTGAGCACAACCTGGCACCAGATAAAAGACTCATGGCAAGGCGAGGCGCTGCAGAGCACAGTGCTGCTATTCACAGCAGGGGAGTGTTCTGCTTCCCTCAGCTGCTCAACGGTATTCATGCTGCAAAGAACCAGGCCTTCAGCTTTTTTTTTATTTTTCCCATCCTTCAGCACTGCTAGCAGATGGGATCTGGTAATCTCTGCATAAGGCCAAGTCCTCCAGGTTAGCCTGACAGCTGAAAGAGATAGTATGAAGTGGTAGTTTTGCCATACTGGGTTTAGCCTCAGAGCCCATCCCTCCTGCAAGTCATCTGTGGGTTGATGGTCACCAGCTGGTTATCAGTGAGTAGCACCTGAGGACTATGGCATCTTCAGCGTGCTGAGCAGACCTTCCACAGGACATTGAGCCAAACCTTTCACAGCTCACAGTGGGGAGAGAGAAAGAACATCAAGTTCATGTGACTGTGTTAAATTGCAGAGCTAATCCTTTGATGACTCATGTCTCTAGCATGCGCTTTTCTGTTACAGAGTCATCTAATAGACTTCATTTTCCTTTTTTATCAGCTACAGATTCAGTAAAGGAATTTAGCAGTGTTTGTTCCCAGCTGTCAATAATGTAATTCGATCTATAAAAAACAAATGCAGCAAAATAATAAGATCTAAGCTGATTTCCCAGTACAAGGGGAACTGATATTTTTGAAAGGCTGTTGTAGTTGCTTGATTTCCAAAATATTAAAGATATTGCACCTATGAATTGATAGCAAATCCTGAATGCTTAACAAGAGAGCCAGATGTCAATATTTACCATTTTGTTTTGTTTTTCCAAGAACACCAACCTGAAAAAATGTATCTAACTTTATCAAAGTGATAGCCCAAATGACAGCACCGCCGATGAACTTCAATAATGAGCTATGGTAATATAAGGCTTGTAAGAGGTGGCTCGATACTTATTTCTGAAATCATATTTTCTCCATCCCTTTGAGATGATGAGAACCGGGTGTTCCAAGTTGAAAGATTGAAGCTTTCCATAAAGGGATTGCAGCTGAAAGTCATAACCAGCAACTGTAATTAGCCACACAAGCTATTTGCATGTTTCCTAATAAATGTAAAGTAGGGTGCTGAAGCCTAGCCAGCTACTTTTCATGAAACATTTTATCACATTGTTTGAAATAAAACACAAACACCTCTACAAAGCGAACTTGAGCTCTGCTGCCATCAGTTCTGAAGAAACACTCATTAAGGATTCTTTCAGTAATTTTTGACTGAAAAGGAAAAATGAGCTCTCCTTCTGTGACAGAGCTCTCTCTGTTACTGCAGGAGGCTACGAAAGACTAGATAACTACATTAAGCAAATAGCATAAAAATAGCCACACGCTGTTTCACATGCGTCACCACCTGATGCAAGACACACATAGACAGAAAGGAGAGAACATTGAATTCTTGCCTGTCTTCTGTGTTTTGCAGATGCAGTTTAATGCTAACAATAGCGGAAGCCCTGTGGGTAAAGTTGCAGCGGTGCTATAAACTGGGACTTGCTGTCAAGGTAGCAAAGCGAATTGCATTAGCAGTCTGCCCCAGCATAAATGTATGGATAGCGGTACATCAAGGAAAATCCATTATGTTTGCACATGCCCTCATACACTAAAAGGCTTGTGTTTTTTCCTGCAGGCTGTTGATCCGCCTTTGTGTATCTCATTGTGCCTTGAGAGAGCTTCTTTCCCTGCAGAATTAGACTCCTTGCCTTTGGATTGCTTACTGAAACGTTAGCAAGGATAGCAAATGACTTTTCTTATCTGAGGTACCATCACAATTTTCATAGTAATGCAGGGCTTTACACTGTGCAATGCTTTTCATCAAAAGATCTGGAACATTTGCAAACAGTGATTGATGTAATTAATAGACCTCTGAAATAATATGGTTCTCTTTTCTCATTGGTGGCTGAACTGAAAAATGCATTTATTTAAGGTAGAGCAGAAGAAAATTAGTTCTTAGGAAATCACTCTGTTGTCTAGATATTTTCAACAGAACAAGATGGGGTTTTTTGACACCAAGTTCTTTTTTTTTCCAATGTGAAAAATCAGTACCTTGAAAGTGAGCACTTCCACTCTCCTATTTTGTAAGGCTTTACTAATAAGTTTTGGTGAATCCAGAGCTAAAAAAAAAAAAAGCGCAAAAAAAGCTTTAATAATTGCATCTTCCAAACCTTTGCATGGAAGGGAGCTTATGTTACTGTATGAATGAAATGAGCAGACATGAACAGGTATATCTATTAGGCAGAGGCAGCTGAGAACTGCGTCCAGGAACAAAACTCAGGACTTCCAAAGCTAAGTTTTAGCATGCCGTATCACTTAGGTGCTCCTTACACAGTCTATCAGGGCATTTTCCCTACCAAGTGTTAGTCTGAATTAACAAATTGTTTAGGAGCTGTAGCTTGAAGGCATCTCATCTCAGCTTTTTCAGATGTAGCACCTGGGTTTTCTATCTTACAAAAGGAGATACTGCACCCAGGATATTTCTCTGTCAGTGAGTATCTAAGCAATGCATATTACTGTTGATCCAGTAAATGTACTTGAAACAACATGCAAGAATGACAGCATTTTATAGCTCCTCCTTTAAGTGAGTATGATGACTATCGTATGATTCACTGTTGGCAAGAATAAGTACGTTTTATCCATTTCTCCCAGCAGTGAAGTGTTGTGCTTTTCACTAATCAAGAAGCTTTACATTCTTTGTCGCTGTGAAGTTTAAGAGTGATGGGAAGAGCCCCTACTGCCATCAGAAGACTGAGTGGATAAAGCCACAGAACTCATAGTCCAGCACTCCCTGCCCAGTTCTCGGTGTGTTCTGGGGAGGTTATATGCAGAATGAAATGCCCTTGAAGTCAGGAAAAGGTAGCAACAGCAGAGGGAGATTATGCGGTTCATTGTAATAACTCTGCAGGCTGTAATCTCTGCGTCTGAAAGCCTCATTTTTCAACAGTGAAATGCAAGAAGGGCCAATTTCTACATTTTATCTTTCTCTTGAAACAGAGCTGAAAACGGCAGGATGCACAACTTTTGTGGATGCTTAGGGCTGTGTGCTATTATCAGTATTTGCTGAGTCAATTTTTATAATAATGGAAAAAACAAGGAAATTTACTTAAAAGATATTAAATCCACGCCTGGTAATCACGAGCTAAATTTTGTTCTTAAGAACATTCACAAAAGAAAGAGGTCAGCAATTCCAAGCAGGTATTAGTACTAAAATACGTATACCGTTAGTATACCATCACCTTGAAAACTCCTTAGGCATCACCTGGTCTTAGCACTGAAGAAAATACTATAAGAGTTTAGATGCCCAATCAGAATAGGGAGATACAAAGGACCAGTATTAAAATAGTATTTGAGAACTCCTGAAAAGATGTATTCACACATGCCTTTTCTTAAATAATTCTGGATGATTTAAAGTGCTTTAAGAAAAAAAATCTTGCTAAATTATTCACAGCAATAGAAAAATTGGTAAATTAAATTCTCCACAGTGAACAATCTGCCCAGGTTTATTTTAGTCTTATTTTAAGATAAATCAAGACGTCAATACAGGAAATATAAATGAAAACTTCTCATTTATCAAATAAGTTCATTTACACAGATGACTTATAAAACTTCTTCCTGTGTGAAATGTGGTGTTGCATTGTCTAATATTCATTTTACAACATCTGTTTTGTGACTGCCTGATTTTTTAAAACAATAAGTAGGGTATAGGAAGTAAATCCAGGTTATTAATCACAAGACTGAAAAACACATCATTTATGCCAATAGAGAAACCACAGCTTGTCAACAAACAAGAGAAAAGCAAACCCAGAAAAATAATCCATGTACCTTAATATTTTAAATGAAACAGTTGCTAAGATACAAGTTTAGCATCGTGGTTAATCTAGCACAGTCACTGTGCTAGAGGAGTGGGATCTTCCTGTGCTGCAGTCATTCCTCAGCCTTAAATACTAGAACACTGACCATAAGGATCTACCCTGTGTCAACCAGTGTTGACACCATTATGGTCACAGGTATCCAGAAAGTGTCATTAATAGGAAGGGTCTGATCAGGTCCAGCTCATACCTCATATATGTGAAATGCCAGTAAGATGAAGGAATAGCTGCGTGGGAGTGTTTTTCTGTGGGCCACATTTTTCTTTTTAATGTTTAGGGTTAGAAATAAAACAGAAAGACACAAATTCAGAGTCTGAGGCCATGTTTGGACAGATGTCTGCTTTACAGCATCTCCCTTACTTGGGAGTACATCTCAGCCTTACCTCTTGCAAATTCTTCAAAAACTAAAAGCTGTTTCGTCTTACCTCATTACTGTATCTTTATTTAATTATACGGTGCAAAGCAAGGAGAAGATGTACTGCCTTCATATTTACTCTGTCAAATATGCTTCCTTAAATTCAGCTAACACTATTTTTTTAATTTATTGCAATTCCTTTTTGCCTAGTATATTTTTCTAAACCTGCTGTAAATGTAATTCTCTCAATTTCAGGATCATCGATCTGAACAATGGCAGTAAATGTAATCAGGAAATGGAGAAGGAGAATGGAGTTCTGTTTCTAATGAATTTCATTTGCTTATTTATTTACTTTACACTTCAGAGTGACTGGTACATTTTGTTTGTAGCCTACCAAGACAAAATACTTTTTATTGAAACCTGTAAAAAAGAACAAAAAAAATTAGTATTGGGTTCCAAGGTCCTCAGTTTGAAGAACAAAGACATTTTGAAGTCTACAAATCAATTACCAATTTAACATGGTCTTTGGCATTCCTTTATTTCTTATTTTACATATTTCTTTAATTAACTATTATCTCATTGTTTGGAAAATATTATCATGAGAGTGCAAGTCTGTTTCTTGAGCATTTCTAAATTCTCCGCTGTTGGAAAACAAAACCACAAAAACACACCAGGCTCTTACTGTGACATTTCCAGATCCCACTCAGCTGTTCACAGCTCCAACTGTAACGTTCAACGTGCTTAAGATCAAGACCACACGAAAGAGTGCAGATCAGGTTTTCAGTGCCTGCAAGGGTTGTATGGTCAGTGGGTGAAGTGGTTATTCTGTTCCTCTTTTCTTTATTATTCAGTATCACAAAGACAGATATCCAAATATTTCTAATATTTATGTAGAGTGGTTTCACAGGTAATGACAGATAACAAGTGATAGTCCTAATAAAATGAACTTTCCAAATATTTTCTGTAAAATATACTAAAATATTCATTAAAACAAATGAAGGGAAATTCACAAAGACTAGACAGAACGAAGTTCTGTTAACAAAGCGAATAATTCATGGTAGAAGATGCAAGACTTTTCCTCACTGTTTGAACACACATGCACTCTTGTGCTGTCTAGCCTTTATTTGTGATAACGCATTAACTGTATTTGTCAGGAAGCCAAAACAGTCATTAAATGACAAGACTGTGAGGGAGTGTAAATAACATATATGATACTGTGGAACTCATGATGAAATACTGTGTTATTTATCCACTTAAAGGTATTCTTTTTGAATAGCATGGGGTTAGCTTTTGTTTACCAGTCTATTATAGTTAATTAGTTTAAAATGTTCTTAATTACATAGAGATAGTACATACCTTCTTATTCTTAAAGCAAGATTGTTTTTCTGAGCATATCTGGATTGTGAGATCCTCTATAGGCCTGATTATTTTAACATGACTTGCATCTCAATAAATATTTTGCTTTTTTCAGACAAACTTTGGCATATACCTGATGAACCAGCCCTTGCACTCATCCTTTCCAGATATTTTATCAGTTGGGTGTCAAGTACTTCCAGTGCTGAAGGAGAATACAGAAATTCAGCCGCCCCCGACATCCAGTGAAGAAAAATGTTCAGGATAGATTCTCTGCTGGAGATGAAATTTATATGCAACTCCAGGGAAAAGTCAGTAGTCAGTTACTCAGAAAGAAAGAAAACGCTTCCACTCATTTGCTTCTGGTTTAAGTCTTTTAATTTTCTGTTTGCTGTAAATGTTATCAGATGGCAGAACCCTTGATAATTACAGCTCACCTACATGTTTTTGCTTGTGATTAGGTTACAGCAGCCATAACTCTATTTTGCTCAGTTGCATCAGGATGCAACAAGTTTGATCAAGTTTTACTGGTGGATGACTCCCCAAACAAGCCCAACATTGCTGTCAGAAACCCACATCTCAATGAAGGAAAGTAAGCACAACAATACACTACTTCCTTATGTTGCCTTGTTAAAACCGCAATTTGGAGAGAGGATGCAGGACATATTTTAGAAACAATGTGGGTGGGAAGGGAACAATGGGAGAGTGGCATGAGAGTAGCAATGCATTCAGCTTTTCAAAAATGAAACTGAGGGTGATGTGTAGACAGTTGGAAAGCACTGGAGAGGGAACTGTTATTGGGAAATGTGTGTCTCCCTCTTCAGAAGTGGTGCGTAAGGATGACAAAAAGGTGCAAAGATCAATGAAGATTCATTATGCTGTTGGCAAAACACATTCCCTGTAAAGCAATTTCATCCATTTGTTCTTGACTTGTTTCTCTCATTCCCATTTGCTACTTTTCCATTTGATTTATTTTATGTGATGTCTTCCCACACAGTTGTTTCCTTATGTGTTTGTGATGTTGCCACATTTTTCCTAATGAGAGTTTTTGCAACTAATACAATCATGTTTTCTATACAAACTTTGTATCCTCAGAGGTCTCTAATGGCCGCTTAAAGGAACTCTTGCAAGTTTGGATGTCTCTCCATCCCAAACAGGTCAAAGTATTCTTTTTTCTTAGTCTTTGTGCATTTGATAATGGCCTTCTTAGAAGGCTTTTGAGTTCTTTGCTCTCCTAAATATGACTTCTGTTTTCTGATTTCTGAGAGAAAATATGTAAAATTTAGGAATTAGTCTAAAATATTAACTGTTGTGAAAATTTAAAAAAATAAATAAATAAAGCAAGCCACACAGCAAAAAAAACAAATGGAAAGTCACAGAATCACAGAACCGTCTAGGCTGGAAAAGACCTTGCAGATCATCCAGTCCAACCATTAACCTAACATGAACAGTTCCCAACTACACCAGATCCCTCAGCGCTATGTCGACCCGACTCTTAAACACCTCCAGGGATGGGGACTCCACCACCTCCCTGGGCAGCCCATTCCAACACCCAGCAACCCGTTCTGTAAAGAAATGCTTCCTAATATCCAGTCTAAACCTTCCCTGGTGGAGCTTGAGGCCATTCCCTCTTGTCCTATCGCTTATTACTTGGTTAAAGAGGCTCATCCCCAGCTCTCTGCAACCTCCTTTCAGGGAGCTGTAGAGAGCAATGAGGTCTCCCCTCAGCCTCCTCTGCTCCAGACTAGTCAATGTAAAGCAAGACTGAACACACTGAGTCCAAGTGTTTTTTAACCCCCAACATGTGTCCAGTTAGCCACAGGGTGATTCATGCTTCCAAGAAGTCCTTCTCCTAGACTGGGTGCTCTGTTGCCATTTAGGAAGTGAAATTTTGACCCGTTAAAAGCACCGTCAGAACTCTCATCCAGCATGATTTAGGTCTTCCTTGGGGCACTTCTGGCTCAAACTGTGTGAAAGTGCTTCTGGCTGAAGCAATCCGTGAGTTATTTGAGTATATGCCTGGAGGGGAGCAGGCAGTTTTGTGAAGGAATTGGTCAAACACTCATTCTGAAAGGGAAGCGTCTACCGCAGAGCGGTGTACAATAGGAAAAGGGAAACGCATTGCCCAGTGTGCGAATCAGAATTCAAAGATGGGCTTTTTTCTTTCTCTTTTTTTTTTTTTTTTTAACTAGTTTCTTTTTTTTTTTTCTTTTGAAGAACTGGTTTTACTCACTTCAGCTGGAACAGACTCTTATTAGTCTCTCAGCAGAGCTTTGTAATGGAAATGAGAAGAGACATTATCTGTTTCTTACAACCTGCCATAAAATACATGGAAAGAGAGAGGTGTTTCATATGTATGTAAACTGAGGATCAGTTTTGAGAGTTGTACCTTCCACTTCAGAGCCCAAGCACTGCTCCTTGATGTCTGCTTTGAAAAGCAGGAGTTTTATCTGTCTAATAGTCAATTATCTGATGTTGTAATGAGAAGCCTTTTTGGAACCTTGAAAAGCAGTTTCCTGGTATCGAAATCTCTTAACTGTTTCATTCTTTGCCTTTCTGTTATGCAGAACATTGTTTTGTTGGATAGAAAGGCAGCACAGCTCTGGCAAATTTAATATGAAGAGACCTGCTGTATGCTGACCTTCAGGTGATCTCTGGTGCTTTGCTCTGTCCTCTTCACCTCACCAGTATGTCATTTGTTTAAAATGGCACAGAAGTTAGAAAAGAAAATGGAAAGCAAACCTCAGCAAGCTCTGTTTCACTTGTTATTGGATTTACTACAAAATAAGTCACTTCAGTACACAGTGGCTTGACAAATACTGTTTGTGAATAGCCTTAATGCAATGTATGGTAACTAAGGATGAGAGGATTTGAACTTTAAAAATGTCATGCTTGGTCATTTTGACCTATTATTTACAGGCAATTACACTTTCCCTCTGCTGTGGCTTAGTAATATTAGATCACGAATAATTTTGTCATTTTACAAGGGGAAAAAATATTTTCTCTGATGTATGAACATACTCATTAGTATACTCTCTGCATTTCCCAGAAGGAACATCCTTGTGCTACAGTGATAGGAAATGTCACAATGCTTCAGATTGATGGAGGATACATAAGGAATCTTTTCATCTCAACAAAGGATAATATTTCCCTTCTAGTAAGTGGAGTGTTCCCGCCAGTGTTGATACGTCTTCCCATCAATGAAGACAAATTCTTCTCAGTGCCAATGATCTGTGGAAAGTCTTGAAGTAGGAAAAGTCACTTTAAATGACATGCACTGTAAGTTTGTAGAAGGAACTTCCCTCCCATGATGTGAAAAAAAATTCAGAGAAAGAAGAAACTTAGCATAATGCAAACCCAGGTACTGCAGGAAGGAAAAGGGCATAAACACTTTAAAACACTTCATGTATTACATGGAGAGATTGTATGTTCTATAAGGGGTGACTTCTCAGTCTTCAGGGTATATAGGAAAAAGACCATTTCAGGCTCTTTCATCTTAGTACTCTCATTGCTGCAAAATTAAATCTTTGGACTAATTGCAGATATATTTTTACCTTATATGGATAAGAAATGTACTTCCAGTATTTCCAAAGTGCTATATGTAAAAGGTCCTCTATATATTTGAAAACTAAGTCCCTATTTCCTCACAATTAATTTTTGAGACACATTCTGTTTTCTGTGGGACCGAACTCCCAAATCTGAAGGCAAAAACAGTGATTATTACAGGTTCTAACAATAGCCAGGAGGCTGAAATCACAGAAGAGAAATCAGAGTATTTAGGAGAAGCCTCTGAACTGTGTTCTGTGATATGACTAAGATATTTTAGATACAGTTTATGATTTATATACTTTCAACAGCATTCTTCAAAATATGGTCAAAATTTTAGGTCACTCTTCTGTCAGAATTATACACAAATCAAAAGCAAAGACTACATAAAAAATGTGATTGTTCATAAATTATAGAGATTATGCTATGCATTTCTTCTTCAGTCTGGTTTTAACTTTCTTGGAAATTAAATCAATAAATTATATATTGTGCTTGATGTGTCTCCTGGTGGTGGTTGCATTCTTGACCTTTGAGCTCATGAGATGCTAAGTTCTGCTCTGAGGCACTGCTGGGCTCATGGGTCGAGTATGTGCCTCAGAACTGAAGGGATGTCTCATCGCTGCTGGGATTCACAGGTGAGATGTTTCTCCAGCTATTGCACTGATGGCCTCTGTCTGTCTAGTCAGCATGCCAAATAGTGGCACACTCAGCTCAGGCCCTGCACAAAATGCACTAACAATCAGAGTTTTCCTTTAAAATATGGCCAAAGGCAGTCCTGCTGGAGCCATCTCTGTTATCCAGAGGTTGGAGCTCTCATCAAGGGTGATGCAGAGGAGAAGGTTGATTCCCTCTCCTTTGCCTGGAGGAATCCAACGCCGTCTTTCTCCTCTGCCTAACCCATCAGTCCGTAGGCAAGACTGGGGACTTAACAGAACTCTGTGTGTGTGTGAATCATATGGAGGGCTTGTCCCTCCCTTCTCATGAGATTTACACGGAAATGATCTGTGATTCACTGAGCGAGAGACATGGGCACAAGTGAGGCTGGATCTACATGTGACTCTGAGCTACTCATTCATGCTCTTTTGGATTCACTGAGGGTGGGAGGGGAAGAAGAGCATGGCTCTGTAACCCAACAGGTAGGTCACTCCTTTGGAGATGAAAGATGTGGGTATGTCCCTGTCTCTCTGATTATACATCTGTCATGAGGAAGCTACTTGGACAAAACATAGACACAGCCCCTGGAGAAGGGAGAAGGCAGAGCACTCCGTGTCTGCTGGGCAGTAAGACAGTGGGTTACAGAGGCTTGTCTCCTTCCTCTAGCCACCAGCATTTAAGTACAAGGTGGAACTTCAGCAAGAATAGAGAACACCCCAGGTGTGTTTTGGAATAGGCCATTAGGGCAAACAAAAGTTTGAGTCCTCAAAAGTAAAAATGTTAATGAACACATGTGTTTCTGACTTCTTGATAGGTGCACTAGCCACAAGGCCAGAGTGAAAAGGAAAAAATGTGGGAGGGAAAGTGGAATCTCCTACAAAGTTTAAAAGAAAGTAGAGATACACATGCCTTCGCCACCCAGTTTGTAATTTTTTTAGGCAAGAAAGGACGTAGGTATCCTCAGGCCCATAAATCAGATTCAGAGAACTCAGAGTAAGTCATCGACAGAGAAGTGCCTCTTAAGCAAGGTGCCATTTAAGAGGCCTCTCTTCCCTCCCTTTTCTGTCAACTAGTTTACTTGGCTGCTCACTCAGTGTGATGGTGGTTGTGGGTCACTTCCAGTGGAAAATAAAATAAGCAGGTGCCCTGCATAAGGAGTGCACTGGCTCACTTGAGACTGCAGACAGGGAGAGATGTTAGGGAGGTTTGACACAGGGCATTCTTGAGTATCACTGCCCTGTGCAGAGTTACATCAGAAACCTCTCTGTAATAGTCCCAGAAATACATGTCACAGAACAAGTTAGTCATTTTTCTGCTGTCACTGTGAAGTCATCCTGGAAGGGTGATATTCAAGAAATGTGCTGTAGGGGAACAGACCCTGGCAAAGGCAGGATGGGAAAAAGGAATGAACAAAAAAATGCTCTTTGCAGCATTTGCCACTGGAAATTGCTGAGGGGCTTCTCAAATACCCACCAAGTAAGACAAAATATGAGAAATCAGGGAATTTGATTTAGTACAGCCTTTTCATGGCAAATTTGAAATGACATTGATCTCAAATGAAGAGCCTCTTGCCTTGCATGGCTCATGCATAGCCCATAATTAAGTGCATTTCTGTGTTAACCCCAGTTTCTTCTGTGAGCTGATCTATTCCAGACTTGCAACCAAAACTTGTCAACACGCTGCAGATCTGGGTGTCAACATCAGCTTCTCCCAGATAACCAGTGTATTCCATCTTTGAGACTTTCTCATGCTTTTTGTTGTTTCTCAGAGGTAAGTGTCCCATCTGGATTAAAGTACTCTGGCCAGGATTGCTAATGCAGAGATGGCTCCTCACTGTTCACTTTCAGAAGTGAAATCAGCTTTTGGTTTCTAAAAGGGCTGTGTTTTCCATGTGCCTGTGTTTGAAAAGCCAGCCATGATCTAATGTCAAGTCTGTTCTTTTCTGGTATTTATAATAGTTGGATCAGATAAAGCTGTTGAAAAGTTTGTGAGTTACTATTTCCTGAAGCAAAACAAAACTAGAAGACTACAGAAGGCACTGCGCTGCTGAACCCATCTATCCACTTCTACAAATGGAGAAGAGCCTCTGAGGTATCCACTGCTCGTT